ATAAAATTTATCTGCAGTGGGGTGCCTTCATATACCAATTTAGTGGCACTCGGGAGGGACATATTAAAAAACGGTTTTTGTTTGAGATAAAATCGGGAGACAGCCGTCGACGTCGCACCGCGACACTTTTTAAATCTAGCAGACGTCCGATACACTTTTCGATTTTCATTTCAAAGTAGCTCGATTTTAATTTGAATTTAGTTGTCTGATTGATTTTTCGTATACACCTATAGCTCAATATTCAATTTGTTTCAAAGTGCTGCATGCGATGAAAATATTTGCTATTATACAGGGTGTCACATAAGAATCTCACAACGCTTATTTCAAATAAAGCCCCCAGATATATTATTGCGTTTTTAGATTTCTGAAAGAAATCAATATCACATTCCTTAAGATGTCCCAATACTGAATACAAATAATTTCCTAGATAGCTTTAGTTAATTTGATATGCTTTTGGTCCTATTTACGAGGTACGGGACTTTAGAACTGACCACTTAGATCGTCTGATTCAAAGTCTTTGGATTTTCATCTCTCGAGAGTAACTGTTGAACGATGTAACATAATATAAATGCCGACGACAACAAATCCAAAAAACTGATACACTTTCCGCTTTTCATTTCAAAGTAGCTCTATTTTAATTTGGATTTATAAGATTTAATTCTCTGTACATCACTTTCCAAGCAGCAAAGTTGTCAATCTGTATAGCAGTCTCTCACTTGGAAAAACAAAATGAAAACAGATATCAGGAATAGAGAGATCATAAAAAGGTCTGCTGGATTTCTCCGAGTTGCTAAGCAGCCTTTCCCGAAAAATGTTAGTGCATTTAGAGCTACAACGTAATATAAGTATACAGCACGATGTCGTATTAATGATATTGTTATAACCATGCAGGAAATGGAGATTCGGAATGAAAAAAATCCAGAAATTAAATTTCTTTAGAAATGATTGTAGATTGTTTGAATAATTTTTATTTTAACAGAATAGACCGGTGAAATTCCGTACGCCCGCCACTGGTATATTTAAAAAAAATTGCGGTACACTAGATAATCCCCTTTGATACATAGCACATGTTTGCCAAATTTCATTAAAATATCTGTAGTGGTTTTACAGCTATTAAAAAATATTACACAATACAACTTTAACGACCTGTACCTCAAAAGTTAAGACATTTAAGACATATGCTCATATGAAGTTTCCATTTTAAAATGGCCCCAAAAATAGCGTGATTGATTATTGACATTCAATTAGAAAACGCCCTGTATAAAGGAAGTCGGTTGGTTAGTATGTAAAGCAATCGATGTATTGAATTTTAAAATTTATTTTCGAAGTCGACTAGCAAATGAGAATGATCTAACTAATTACAATAAATTATTTCTACAATGTAAGGGGTGCTTTTCTCGATGTATAGAACTTTAAGTTGCAATAAAACAACGATGGATTATTCGATTGACATGAATTTTATTTATCAGAAAGATAATCTTGTGGCATTACATTTTAAATATGATTTCTGGCATATATCCGCCACGGCTGGCGCGGATGTAGATGTAGATTTATAAAAAGATAAAGAGATTTACTAACCTAAACAAATTTATTAATTAATTAAAAATTAATTTTTACAGCTTATTGATTATTATTTGCTACTTACTCTACTTACTATTAGGTTTGTATTTTATCGAAATGGATATTTTTCAAACCAGCCAAGATCATTGTTTTTCCTCTAAAAATCTTTTATAGTTTACATGGTAGCCTATATTCGAAGAATTGTAGTAATTATGGCCACTGAAAGACCTTATTTCTTATATCTATATATCGAAACACATATTTGTCAAGAAATACTGATTAATCTTCACAGCTCATTGATTATTATTTGCTGCTTACATTACATTTAAATTTTATTGAATAGCCAAGAACACATTGTATTTTTAAATTTGTAAACTTTTATTTGGTAGCCTATATTCGAAGTTATTTTATTAGAACCATTACAAATTATACATATTATAGCCGCTGAGAGGTTTTATTTCATAGAAACTACTGTAATACAATGGTACATAAGTTTTTGTTGAGCATTTATTTGCAACAGTCTCGATACTTTAAGCACTTCGAAGTTAATTTTACATTTACTGTTCTTAATGAAACTCTCCTAATATCTGGTTTAATTTAATATTAAAGCATGTATCTACTAACGTAGCTTTAGATATCCTATACTGTCCACTAAGGTTAACCCCCGGGAACACGTTAACCCATTGGTGAAACAAGCTTTATCAGATTGCTTAATAGTATCTTTGGACCAAAATTATTTTAAATTTAATGGACAGATTTACATCTCTAAAGAAGGTTTGATTATGGGAAACCCACTTAGTCCTTTGTTAACCGAAATTTTTATGGATAATTTGGAAAATATCATACTAGAACACGTCTTTAAGTAAAAGTTTTCTATGGTGGTATAGATACGTGGATGATGTCTTTGATTGCTTTGTTTTACAATTGAATTCTTTTTTAAATTACATTAAAATTCACTATCCAGGTTGAATAGGATAACTCTATCAATTTTTTAGACTTAACTATTACGAAAACGCAAAACAAATTAGATTTTTTTATTTCCATTTCCATTTTGTAAGGAATGTAAAGCTCGACCCATTGGTGAAACAAGCTTTATTAGACTGCTTAATAGTATCTTTAGAGCAAAATTATTTTAAATTTAATAGACAGATTTACATCTCTAAAGAAGGTTTGATTATAAGAAACCCACTTAGTCCTTTGTTAGCCGAGATTTTTATGGATAATTTGGAAAATATCATACTAGAACACATCTTTAAGTAAAAGTTTTCTATGGTGGTATAGATACGTGGATGATGTCTTTCATTGCTTTGTTTTACAATCGAATTCTTTTTTAAATTACATTAAAATTCACTATCGAGATTGAATAGGATAACTCTATCAATTTTTTAGACTTAACTATTACGAAAACGCAAAACAAATTAGATTTTTCCATTTCCATTTCCATTTTCCATAACACGAACAAATTAAAACAATTACATACATGGGAGAACCCAGTGAAAAAGTTTCAAAACATTTATCAAAATGTGGTTTAAAAATAGTTTTCAAAACTAACAATAGGAAAATTTTTAAAAAACAATAAAACGAAATGTCCAAAATCTCAAAAATGAAGTGTCTGCAGGTTGAAATGCGGATCTTGTTCTCAAATTTATATTGGACATACAGGTAGATCCTTTAACAAACGCATTAACGTACATAAAAGAGCGTTTAAAAACAATAGTCTAGATTCTAATTATACTACACACTTAAACACAGAAAAACACATTTTTGGCCACAATTTTGATATTTTACATACAGCCACAAAAAGTAGAAAATTGAATTTATTGGAAGTCATGGAGATTAACAAAATGACTGATTCAAATGTATTGCTTAACGATCAAATTACATTTAAATACCTCTCCATTATTAAACTTAAATTCTCACAACATTAATTAAGATTTGATTGTGATTTTTCGGTACATATAGTAGCAGGTAGTTTATAAATATTGCATTTGACAAAGATACGGTGTTGTCGAAACAATTGTCATGTGAATATATATAATTTCGTGAAAATCTATTTATAGCTATTTTTATTGTGGGATTGTCAATCATTATTTTTTATGTTTAGACCACGGGTTAAAGAAAAGTTTGACGAAATAAATAAGAACTAAAAGTTCAGATCTGAAAATCTGAACTTTTAGTTCTTATTTATTATGTTAAATGGATTTTCATCAAGTAAAAGCCACCTCAGTACAATTTTTGATTGGTTAGTTTGGAAGGCAACCACAGTATTTGAGAACCAATATTATATAGGTTCATAATGAGCATATAATGGATATACAAAATAATCGATCTCCTATAACGAATGAAAACATTTTTATGTAGGAACATTTACATTATTGTTCCTTGAGCAGACATTTTTTTACTAATCTAAACACACATGTTGGTTGAGTCCAAACTTTTGGAATTGCCATGAACATTTTGTGTGTTTTTCTTGTGCCTTGTAATTGAAAAATGTCTTAGTAGAAATGTAATCTACATAAGTTCCTTTTGAGTAAATGTGTGAAAGATTATAATTAAATTAAACTTAACAAGTTACCTATTACCAAATATTTATTTGGAACTAAGAATTCAAAAATTCGATAATAAATAGGGAAATAATTTAATAGGATATCAGGGGTGAACTAAAAGAGCTTCAAATATTCCATACTATCGAAAAAGGCTTGCAATTCGTTGGTTAATATGTAAAGTAATCAAGCGATCCTCTCTGAATAGTCCATTAGAAAACAGCAACAAATCTGAAAATTTATTTTCGAAATCAACTAGCAAAGAAAAATGATTTTTTCAATGTTTAAACATGCACTAGAACTAAAACATTTTTAGGTTAATGAACAAATGAACAAAATTTTGCAAATGCCAAGAATACAACTACAAAATACAAGATCTAATTTCCGTAAAACTAATATAACGCAATAGATCATAACTTTTTCCTACATAAATATATGAAAGATTCAAATTACATGAAACTTAAAAAAAACGTATTTAGGATTAGGCGCAGTAAATTTTATTACAACAAATATTTATTTCTAACAATTTCGACATTTTTAGCAATTTTACATTTACTGTTCTTACTTGCCTAGTTCTTAATCCCTCCTAAATATAGCATCAAATATCTTATAATATCCACTAAAGTTGGTTGTGTCTATTTTTCACTAACCTAAACACACACGTTGATGCGAGAGTACTGATTAATTTTTACACTTAATTGATTATTATGTATTACTTACTATTAGGTTCATACTAAAATCCAAATTCAATGGATATTCACCAAACTAGCCGAGAACTTTGACTGTAAAAGTTGTATAGTTTTATAGTAAACTAGACTTTGTTTCCTCGTATTTGTATTGGCTTGTATTTTGGCCAAACAGTTAAAACATTATTTTTATTAAAATTTTTCTTTTCAGAGTTTTGGATATGAAATCAGTATTATCGATTACAATTTTGTGCATTTGTGTCTGGTGTTCGGTTTCCGTTTTTAAATTGGAAGCAGAAGCATTACCGTTTCCAAGAAAAGTAAGTAACTAATTTTAGCGATGGTACAATACCGTTTGGGATGACTGGCTGGTGATATCCACTTTTCCTTTTTGCAAATAATTTATTTTATTTAGCTTTTGCTATTATACGATTATCTTCAGATCCTTTTTACACAATAATAAAAATTAATTTTTATGGGGTTTGAAGAAAATTACGTTATTTAAATATCAACGGTAATTGTATATTTCAATCGTTTTATGTACGTTTCTTGTTAAATTTAGGTAGTGCCATTTAATTCCAAGGAGCACATTATCCATGGACCAAGAAAAAGACCATTTTGCAATGCATTCACTGGTAAGTTAAAATATCTATAATTTCAACTCAAGATGTATTGCTAGTATTTATTTTATGTATTGCGATTTTTTACACCATATTCCGCAACATAACATCCAAATATCCAACATTTTCTTCTTTTTTCTTGGTCTACCGTTTCTTGCTTTGTTTGGGACTCCATTCGACATCGACCCTAAACGATGACTACAAAATTCCAGTTTCCAACACGCTAGGAAAAGCGAATTTTTCAAAAGTACGCTCGTATAAAAATTTTATATGTCGGTAATGACAGGTACAGAATGACTCTCTCCATTTTTTTGTCTATTTCTCCCTTTTATTACACGAGACAGATAAATCAATAAAAAAATGTTTTTTTTTTCGAACGAAGCTCTGAATCAAAATAAGTCTCTAAAAATTGCAGCTATTGAAATTTGACAGGAAAGTAAAGCTCGACCTGCATAAGTGCAAGTATTTTTAAAAATTTAGAATTTTTTTTATATTATTTTGAGTTCCAGAAAAAAAAAATTGTCAAAAACCATGCATACGATTGGAAAAATTCTTGTACCCGAGAACTATAATTTTCGTATTTACCCTTTTTGTCTATTATACAGGGTGTGTAAGTTATTTTTGAAAAAAATAAGCCGTGAATCGTTTTTTAGGGAGCAAAATGTCTTTATTTTCGTTAGTTTGACGATATTTTGAGGTATTTTTTTTTTTTAAGAAACTTCCATAGGCTACTGCATTGCTTTTTACAAAACTTCTGGATTCCTCCTACTTCGGTTTTTGCTTAGTCGAAATTGCTGACGTTTCGCCAATCATCCTGTTGGCTTCTTCAGAGCTTGACTGAAACTGGCTCGTATTTTACTCTGTACCTGCTTATATATTGCTTGAGATGGGGGAGGAAGCTAATGAGGGGCATAAACACCGTCTCGGATGACTGATTCCCAAATTGGTGACAGATAGAGACCTGAGTCGCGATTAAGATTGTTAAGTTGTTTATAGATTTCTATAGACTCTCGGATTTTTCGTTGGTAGAAGAACTGATTACATGCTAGAATTTTAGTTTTATGAAATAAAATTTTATGCCCGGTTTCATGAGTGTGTTTGGCAACAGCTGATGAGTGTGTGTAAAGAGTAAAGTAAAGTGAAAGTAAAAGCAAAAGTAAAGAGAGTAAAATACAAGCCAGTTTCAGTCAAGCTCTGAAGAAGCCAACAGGATGATTTGGACTAAGCAAAAACGGACCCAGGAGGAATTTTGAGGTACTTATACGATACGATTTTAACTATTTTGCGAATGTTACACAGTGGTCCACATGAGTACAATGCCCAAATTAGAGAAAGACGTTTTTTTGGATTATAATCTGCCTATCATGGTTAGCCTGGTGAGTTTTTTCAATCTAAGGTCTTAAAGGGCGTATAAACATCTTCTTCCTGCATGTATTCTCTTGTTTATTTCCTGGGATCCGATGTCGTGGCTATTCCGAGATATTTCAATTCCTTAACTCCTCCAAAATTTTGGTCCCGATAGTTATATCCTATCAATTCTATCTCTTTTCTGGACCTTCCGGTTGTGGTACATATATTTGGTTTTGTTTTCGTTGATTTCGTTTTTTCTGCTTCCTTCTCGAATCCAATGAAAGTTTTCCTCATTTTTATTATGCTACTTCCTGTCAGATCTACATCATCTGCAAAGAACAGTAGTAGATTGGGACTTTCTCTTCTGATTATATGTTCCAGAGCTATTTGTGAAGAGTTGTGGTGAAAGTGTTTCTCCCTGCTTTGAACTATTATTTATCGCGAATGGCTCTGAGTATTGTTGTTTTATCCTAACTATACACTGTGCTTCTTCCATACACATTCTTATCAGACCGACCAGTTTTTTGTGGAAAACATGTTCTTGCATTGCTGTCCACAGTTTCGTTCTACATACTCTATCAAATGCATGTTTGAAGCGTTTGAACTCTCGATCATATTCCTATCATTTTTTCATTATCTGTTTGAAGTTGAAAATCTGGCCAATATTTGATTGATAGTCCCTAAGTAATTCTTCAGTATCTAGTTCGGTTCTTTCCAGTAGGGCTTTCGTTATAAGTTGTTGTGAGAAGCGCGATTTCTCTGTAGTTGGTAAATTGCTTTTTGTGGATTGGTACAACAACCCCTTCCTTCCATTGCTCTGATGTTGTTACATTTTGTCAGATGTTTTGTGTCAGCTTATGAATATATTTCAATTTTGCATATGCAGGGTGTTTAAAATAAAGTGTAGTTCACTATATAAACTTTCGGTCGAAAGTCAAAAATTAGGGAGTTACGGAGCTATAAATGTGACGGAAAAATTAATGTTTTTATTTTTTTTGTTATATTTTTTATGATATTATAAAAACTCACGTTCGGATTTTTTTTTTATTTTTTCATAAAGGGGAACTTGTCCACCCACATCATTCTTCTAAATTTGAGGACAATCTTATACAACAAATAATATGTTTTCAGTCTATATTTTATTTAGAAAATTTTGTCTTCTACATAATAGGTAATAATTTTTATTAAGCATAGTGAGCTGCTTTCACTTCTTATTTTATGTACAGGCGTGCAAACGGAAATTACTTTTAAGTTTTTCATGTTTATACACAAGTATATCATAGGAGGTAGATTTACATAGCTACTAGAGATATAGTTGCCCTCTCTATGCCGATAAAACAAGGACTTATGAAGCAACTATAAAACGAGATATCTAGAAATCGCCGTTTAGAAAGGAAATGGCGCAAAGTGCAGGTTATTAGGTGAAATGTAGAGGCATGTGCATGTGCTCTACGAAAATATCGAAATATTATCTAATATTTACTAATATCTACTATATTATCTAATGGCTATATGGGCAGACCCTATTATCACAGATATTTATCAGATTTCATCAAAGGCTACATGAGTCTGGAAGTTTCGAAAAAAAAGTTTTGATACGAAGTCGAGCACCCAGATTGGAAGTTGCTGTGCTAAATATTACTGAAGGGCAGTCGGAGACAAGTATGGTCTGTTCATAAATATAAGAAAGTGACCAATTGCTTTTGAATGGGATTATCCAAGGGTGGTCATTAACATACAATGCAACAAGATTATTACCTAAAGTTTCGGTATTTAAATTCAAGTAAAATTTTGGTCCGTAATAGAAAATAATTTTATACCTACTTGTGTTTAATATTCTTTGGTTTGGAATACTACTTAGTTTAAGTTTATTAGTAATCATTCTTATTTCGTGTCTAATACAGCGTGTGTTGAATCGTGTGCGAATTATGCAAAATATGTGCGCGTTTAGCGTATCTCAGGAGATGCTCTCGCCCAAAAGCAGAAAACACTATTCTATTGAGACTAAGGAAGTTATAAACAATATTTATTTGACTCTCATTGAACGTGGTGTCAGCAAGCAAACATCTTTAGAAGAAACGGCTACATTGACGAAAATTCCAACATCAACTGTATGGAAAATTGTGAATAATCTCATTTCAGCGATGCTGACATTATCTCGAGTGTAGATGAAAGTGATCAAGATATAATACGGCGTAAAATTTACCAGTAAGTGCACCTGGATCACCCACGTACAGCCTAGCCAAACACCTCGTATCATTGCCCCAACCCCACGTAGGAAATTCGGAGTCGTATATCAAGGACTCAACACACTTTATCAGCAAAATTCAGGACATAATTCTTCAGCCAGATGACACCCTTGTCAGTTTTGATGTTGTGTCCTTATTCACAAAGGTCCCGGTGAAAGAATCTTTAGACCTGATCGCAAGAATTTTCCCAGATGACATTGTCAAGGTTTTCCAGTCTTGCCTAACGGGCAGTTACTTCTTATGGGATGGGGACTTCTACGAACAGACGGATGGGGTAGCTATGGGAAGCCTACTTAGCCCGGTGATAGCCAACTACTTTATGGAGAAATTCGAGCAGAAAGCGATTAGCTCGTCTGAATATAAACCATCAAAATGGCTCCGATACGTGGATGACACCTTTGTAATTTGGAGTCATGGAAGAGACAGACTTGATCGTTTCCTGGACCACCTAAACGCTCAACATCCAAGTATAAAATTTACCATGGAGACAGAACAAATCCGCTAATAGCGTTTCTGGACGTTCTAATAAAAAGATGCAATGGGAAACTAAGCCACATATTGTACCGCAAGCCGACTCACACAGACAGGTACCTACATGCCTTATCCAACCATCACGCAAGCCAAAAAAGAGGAATCATTACAACCTTAACAGAATGTGCCTGGAGGATTTGTGATCCACAACACCTGGAAGCAGAACTAGATCACCTCAAAGAAGCCTTCCAATCAAATGGATACAGGATATTTGATATCGATAAGGCTATGAGGCCCAGAACTGCTTCACGACAAGACCCGGGTGAACAACTAACGGTTGCGAGTGCTTATCTACCTTTTATTCCTCGAGTGACAGACAGGATCGGAAAAATATTGAAAAAGCATAATATTCACACAATATTTAAACTAACAATGAAAATACAACAAACGCTAAAATCAGCCAAGGACAAGAGAGATCCACTGTCAGCCGCCGGAGTCTACCGCATACCATGCACGTTTGGAAAGGTGTACGTTGGAACGACAAAAAGATCTGTCGCAACCAGGATAAAGAAGCATCAGAGAAACTGCAGACTGGGACAAACGGACAAATCGGCAGTAGCGGAAAACGCGCTCAGTGAAGGGGATCACAACATTCTTGTTGGGGAAGCCAGGCTTCTTGCGCCCACTTCGGGCTATCATGCCCGCCTCGTACGAGAAGCAATAGAAATTCATAAACATACAAATAATTTCAATAGAAAAGAAGAGACACTGCAGCTCAAACAAATTTGGAACCCCATCTTAAGAAACACAAGGATAGCCCCGGTAGTCACAACCACTCATGCATTAAAATGCCCCGCCCACTCCTCTCCACGACTCACCAGGCATAAATACAACTTACGGCCGGGAGCGCGTCAGTCTGCATCCAACATCGGAGATGGAAGCTCCTCAAAAGAAGCTAGCCGCTCGTGCTAGCGAAACGTCATGAAGAAATTCCACTCAACGACGGCTATTAAGCCCGAACAAAAACACTTACAGTTCATGCCTGTGATAATTATGCAAAAAATATAAGGCATACAGTATTAAGGCTTCCGCATTACCACTGTATATTTAATCCCATTGAACATGTTTGGCACCAACTGAAATTTGCCATTCGTCGTAACAATGTTTTTCCCTGTATTTACTCCAATGTCCTCAAACCTATAGAAACCGAAGTTTTTAACATCCCTCCACAAAGGTGGGCAAATTCTGTTAAACATATAGAAAAAGCAGAACAATCGTATATCCATATTGCAAATAATATAGAATAAATAGTAATGTAAATGTGCTTTATATTTTTTTTTGCAAACTGTAAGTTTTATCCCAGATTGCACACATACATAGCAAATTGCATGAGCACCGTCCCGGATGACTGATTCTCATATTGGAAATAGGAAAGACCTGAGTCGCGGTTAGGGTTGTTTGTTTCGTTGGCAGAAGAAATAATTACACGGAAGAATTTTATTTTTATCGAATAAAATTTTTTGTTCGGTTTCGTAATTGTATTCGACAACTGCTGATGAGTTTATTTGTCTTAGTCTTAAGAGGCATTCGTGTTCTTTGAGCATAATTGATATTTTTCGCCCTGTCCCTCCAATGTAAACTTTGCCGTATATGCATGGAGAGCTGTGGAAGTTATTATTCTGCGTTCAGTGACTCGAACTGAGATAGTGTTAAGGCTCTGTAGACAAGAAAATTAATAACCGATGATTTTTGGGCCGGATGGTGATGTGACATGCTTTTCTGAATTACCCAATGTTAGGTCTGTTTTTCTATTGATAAAAATATCTTAGAATGGGAGGTTATTATTAGTTACTAGTTCAATTGCAAAACGTATGATAGAGTATATAGAGTTTAAATGGCAAATAAAATCTAGTAAGGATTGTCGACCATGAGGCCAAATAGCAAAAATATCATCAACGTAGATTTTCTATAATTTTGGTTAGTTCAAAGACTATAAATATACTCGCTATGACTGGGGTAATGCAGAATCCTTAAACGATTCTTCAAAAATTTGACCGTTATAAGAAAAATATATCCCAGACAAGCATTTTTCAATTAAGATGAGACGGTTTGGTTCCAGATTCTCAGATTTTAATATATCTGAAATAAAGTTCAGTGTTTTAGGAATAGGGACTTAAGTAAAGAGAGATTCTAGGTCGAAACTAACCAGAATATCCTGCCCATCTAATGTAATGTTTTAAGGGTTTTAATATGATATGGATATTTTGCTAGAGAATATGTTGGAGAACCAATGGTGCCGATAATAGGTCGAAGGGGTAATCCTGGTTGGTGAATCTCAGGGAGTCCGTAGAGACGAGGAATTTTAGAGGCATGACCCTGTGGACGTTTCTTTGAAACACTAACTAACTAAAACTAACCAAAACTATCATTTTGTACAACTTCTGGGTATCCAGTATATTCACTGTCGGATATAATACAAAATAATAGAAAATTTTGGCGCGATATTTCTGAACTTAATGTTTATGTTACATTGGATAAGGATAATATAAAGAAAACAACACCAAAACCTAATTCCAACAACATGTTTTTGTTGGATTATTCGTAATGCTGCAATCCAGGAAACTCTCTGGACATTAAATGGACTAAAATTTTTGTACAACTTCTGGACATCCAGTACATTCATTGTCGGATACGATACAAAATAATAGAAATTTTTGGCACGATATTTCAGAACTAAATGTTTATGTTACATTGGATAAGGATAATATAAAGAAAACAACACCAAAACCTAATTTCAGGGGTTAAAACAACATGTTTTTGTTGGATTATTCGTTATGCTAGTTGAAGACTACCGTTACGTCAAAATTTGAAAATTAATGTCAGACCGATGTAGTCACAATGCTGTTACGTTATAGGTATCATGTGACGTCACGGGTTATAATTAATATGCATTCACAGAATAAGAAGAATCGTTACTAACCACAAACCAAAGTTCATATGCTTTAATTGTTGAATCTTAACATTCCGACAAACACTTACTAGTATAGTTCAAAAACTTTAAGATTTGAATATTTCTTATAGGAATCTTGTAAAGTAATCCACGGATTTTCAAAATTTTTATGACATTCAAAAGTGTGATATGTGTTCAATGGATATCCACGCTTGCGCTACATGTACAAATCTTGGCATTCACTCAACAGCCTATTGTTATTGCGTATGATTTTTTTATAAATTTAGTTAGGAAGATTGAAAGGGCCAATTCAATTCCATCCAATTAACCTGCAGTTAGGTGCTTTTCAAAATAGCAATCCTTCCGAAATATTTTATTGTTCTATCTATTTTCGATTTTAAGATAAAAAATAAAAATAGATTTCAGTATGTAGAGACATATGTTGGTGTGTCGCCGCTAACTAAACAAATTTGTGGAGTACCATAGGGGTCAATTTGTCAATTTTGCGCAAGTTATTATTTTAATATTTGCATATATATTAATAAGCTACCTTAAACAATGCATCTAAGCCAAAATTTTTATTATTCGGGACACAAAATGATTGAGTGTGTGGAATTATTAAAAACAAAATCGGTAACGATGATGTTATTCCAACCAGAGCAGGAATCTTGGGCTAATTTTTGATTCTGAGTTTTTAATTTCATCTCCACAAATGTATCCAAATGGCATATTCCAATCTTTTCTCCATCAACATCTTTGGTTTAGAAGTGATAAGATTAGACTTACGGATTCTTTTTTTCTTATTTATTTTAACTTTGTGGATGTTGTATATGGCCCCTGTCTCCTTAGTATAGACAACCAGAGAATACAGCGCGTCCAGAAAGCATAACTTCAATTCATTTGTGGCATTCGCTGTAGAGAAGAAACGAAATGGCCATCTATGGAGAAGCGCAGAACTTTACAAGCAGCTGAGTTGTTTCATAAAAGTATTACTACAGATCGGTCATCGTATCTAACAAATAAAATTCGATATCCAGATGTGCACACGCTTAATTTAAGATTTCGCTGCCACTATGAAAGGCGTTTTACTTATGATATTTATATTTTGTTTAAAAATATTTAAAAACATAATATAAACAAAATATAAACAGTTTCTTTTAAGTTAATGTTATGAGTGACTTCTTTTGTTTTTTATATACAGTTTTTTTTTAAATTTGCATCGTACGAGTGACTCTGTTTTGTCTTTTTGCGTAATTGGTATCGTCAGTCAACATTAATAGACATTATATATAGTTTACCTTGGGGGCTGAACTATAATCTTTTTTAATTTGAATTTCTGCCTCCTTTTTGCTTGTCAAATTGGTTATTGGATGTGGATGCTAATTATATAAATACTCACCGCAAATACACTATTATTATTATTATTATTATTATTGCCATTATTATTATTATTGTTATTATAATTATTATTATTATTATTATTATTATTATTATTATTATTATTATTAAATTTACACTTGGCTGCAAAAAAAACAATGATATTTTTGGTGAAAATTTAGAAATCACAACTTTTAAATTTTTGCCTGGTTTACATACACTTTTTAGAATAGTTTAGATAAAATGACAAATTGGAATCCACGTATTTAGTCGTTAGATAAATGGTGGCGTGCTAGTTATTATCGAGGATTTATTGAACGTTTGCTTCATGATTTCGTTTAACTTTTAATAGTTACATAATTGATTTAATTACTTTCTTCTCTTTTTATTTTTGTTTTATTTTTTTTTACTACAGCTTTTCTTGTAGTACTAAATCTATTATCACAAATCTGTCTATTTGTCATCACAAAATGTACAGGGTGAGCCAACGATAGAGCAGAGTTCATTATCTCATTGGTTTCAACAATTATGAGAAAACGGTAAAAACAAAAGGTGTAAAAATTGATATTAATTAAATAATTTGTTAATTTGTAGTTATTTGTAGTAATAGAAAATTAATAACATTTACTTTTTCTGTGAATTTAAAAGTTGGGCGTTATTTTCACCAAGATTGCCAATAGCTGTCTGTTGCTTTATTTGCGGTTCCAACAAAGTTCTTACTCCTATTCATTTTTTAATCTTAACAGAATCTTGTTGGCCAACAGTTTTGTCATGACCAACAAATCTTATATCAAACGTCTTAGATAGAAAGAAGGATAAATATTGGAAAAGTTGAAACATATCGCAAAGTATTAAAAATAAGTATATGACACACTTAAAAAAAGGTTTAGGTGTTTGTAGGATCTTTCAGAAATAATAATAATCTATATGGTCTGCCATTATAGAAAATCGAGATTTTTCGTTTTAAAATGATCCAAATGTATTCGTTTATTTGAAATAAGCATAACAATAATGTATAATGTAAATAATAATAAAATTTGTATTTTTTATTTCAAAACCAATTAAAAAAAAAATTAAAATTTAATTTAAAATTTTAAATTGTATGCCCTAACAACAAACTTTTGAAGCCAACTTTACTCTATCGTTAAGTCACCCTGAATGTATTTTCTGTGGCAAAAAGGTGTATAATAGATAGATTATAGAGTTGACATATTTCCGAATGAAGCTTAATTATCAATAAATATTATTATTATTAATATTATTATTATTATTTATATTATTATTATTATTATTATTATTATTACAATTATTATTTTTGCAGGATGTGGGAAGAAGCGATCAAATCTTCCGGCGCTCACCTCCGATGGTATAGAAATCGAGGATTCGATCAACAGTTTACTGGAATTAAGTGCCGAACCGGCAGTGGAGGACCTCTCGCGGCAAATTATGTCGGAAGCGAAATTGTGGGAAGCCATACAGGAAGCGAACGTCGAGCTGAACCGACGAAAACAGCAAAACTCCCTGGAAAATGCGGAAGATGACGTTGGGATCCCGGCCAGGAGTGCAACGGCAAACTGCGCATTGCCGCCATGTTATATCTAATTCGAAAATCGATCACGATTTGCCTCTCTTGTATATCGAACGACGTTATTCATAACTTAAATTTTTGAAAATGTGTTTACCTAGCCAGAGTAAATATGAATATGAATATAAATATGGCCTTTTGTGTTGCGAGACAAAAATTGTAAAAGTAATATGATATAATAATAATTTACTACTTATTTATGGCTATGTGAAAAATAAATTATAGGCATTCTAATAATATAATAATTTTTTGAAAAATGCAGAAATAAATTTCCAATAAATGTTTATAAAAATGAATATTTATGTAGCCAGTAGGAATTTCTGTAAATGAGTGTTTGAGTTCGGAAATATATTTTTGAAAAATTGGCTTATTAAAAATTTATTAAGCCTCTGACACGCTTTAGAAAACACTGCAAAATATTTGTTGGAAAGTTGCGCTTTTCGGGTTTGCGGCTCGTATCTTTGTTGTCCTTAAACTGATCTAATAGGTAAAATAAAATGCAGTGGTGTAGATTTGTTACATATTTACTGTTTCTGAGTTATAAAAAAAAGTATTTTTTATGCAACGCTCTGCGTATTTATGGATTATGAAACCAGTTTATCTTTTCAAAAATACGCAAATAACTGACATTTTTCTAAAACTTACAGGGTGTCCCAGTAAGTTTGTAAAATGTTGCTTTTATCCTTTATTTTTCTTACAATGCCAGTGGCTGACATTACGATTAGATATATATTGCCCGTCTTCAAATAATTTTTTCATGAATAATTAGGCTTATTCAACTAACTAAAAGAGATAACTTCTTGAAAAATATCAAATTTTATCAATTATTGAATTGCTTAAGTAGGTAATTTATTATGATACTTTTAAACAAGAAAAGCATGAATAAAATTTGTTGCATGGCAATGTAAAGTTAATAGAATTAGTTTCGACAATAAAGTGGTAATACTGAAAACGGTTGAGCATGTCAAAACACAACAGTAATGTCAGCGCAGGGAACTTTGAAAGAAACGTAAAAAATAATAAGGTAGTTTTATTTTAAACATCATTTGATAGTCTAAGTTAATAACGATTCCAACTTTATTTCAGCGTTGCCCTTCATTTTGCAACGTATAATAAAGATATTCAGATGCGGTTTTCGCAGGGTTGTAGGACCCTTATTTCACTTTCTAATAAATAATACAAATTTATGCAAATATGTCAGAAAGAGCTACCTAGTGGCAAGGTACTCAATCACAACTGCTTCACACAGCAACTTTGGAAAAGTTCTTTTTGACTACGCCGAGTTTATTAAAATCCATTAAACTTTTTAGGAATATGGACATTTATAAAGAAAAAGTTCGAATACCCAACTACTTTCCTCGACGCGATAGCACTAACAGCATTAAGCAAAAAAAATGTGATCCTGTGTCAGTTTTAAAACATTACTTACTAGAACTATGGTGAACAATAAATTTTTTAGTAGAATCCGTGTTTTAGCATTCAAGGTAGCAATTGCGCCACCTAGTGGTTGGTCATTTCAGATACTCTAGAATAATTTCCAGTATTTTCTCTGACAGATTTACTTCATTTTTTTTTTAAATATCTTGGACTGCTTGTTTCCCTAATACTTCTTTCTTACCCTTTTATTTTAATAATACACAAATGAAAGTTAGATATTACGCACGAAGAATCGATTACCTCGCATATAGATATTTTTATTATGGCATTTACCATTATCAAAAATATCTATGGAGTCCTTTTATGTCAGTAAGTATGTAACAACAACCCAAATGTCAACAATGCCATATTTCCAAAGGTGATGATTAAAATGATAGCCATTTTCTGCAATAAACAATTAGCACATATTTTGGATTTTTTGAAAAGCATTAAAAAGGTTCATCGATCTCAATCGCAGATTTAAGATCTAACTATCTCGCAACATTATACTGGGCTAAGTACTTACGTACTCTAAGCTTACTTCAGTCCAACAAACTATATGTCTGCCCAAAATGAAACATAAAATGGACAAATATTTCACATTTATTTTTATTCCTTCATTTATATGTGACTTTATTTTTGCTTATCTTGATGTAAAAAAAGGTAAGTTAATAATTTTAAAAAAATCTATATTATTTTACTTCTTCGTTAAGCTTATGGATAACGCGGCTTGAATGTTAAAAACGAAGGGGGGTTACGAAAATGTGGTTAACAAAAAATTATCACTTTGGCAGTTCTGGTACTTCATAGACCACCTCAGAACTAGCACTAGAATAGCACCTTGCCAATGTCATCATCCTTGGCTGGATGATTAAAGGACTTGCGGATTCCAGCGGAAATCATTCCGCCGATTCCCTAGCCAAGAAAGCTGTCCGACTAAACTTTATATTAGCAGAGCCCTCTGTTGGTCTGGCTACGTCAGTTATCCAAGAACAGATAAAGGAAAACTCCCGGAAACAATTTTCATGAGACAGAAACCTGTTAGCTAGCTAATACACTATTGAGCTATCCAAATGAAACAGCAGCCAAACAATTTCTGTTTATACCCATGAGAGAAAATGAACGTTTCCACAAGTATTCTTAACACCAATTCAGACAGTAGAACATTCTGTGAGAATGTCGTCACCTCTTGTTTGGGTATTAGGCTTGATGTAATGCTGAATCCCAAGTGCTCCTTCATTTACAGATGCAGATGGTATAGAGTAGTATAGATGATAAAACAGCATATGTAAGGGGCTCATTTATACATTAACAAATTATGCCTTAAACCTCCACCATTTCTCATAGCAAGTGCCAACAATCATTGACGACTCTTCACGAGCATTTTTTCAGAACACAATCAACTATGATATGGTAATTTGTGGAAAAACAGAAAATTATAGAGGAAATCTAAGTTACGCCACAGCATTCAAGTCAAAAAATTTAAAGACAACGGCCTAAAATTTTTATAAAAATTTAATATAAAAATAATCTGCAATGTGCAACTGCGTAATTTAAGTCTTGCCAATTTGTAGTACATATCAAAACTAAATAGTGGACAAGGTTTGAGATTTACAAATTAAATAGAGTTTATAAATGACAAACAAAAATCAATAAGACAATATCATTTAACTGTACTCAATTAAGACAAACGGTACAATATATATATAGTGTGCAAAAGTGAGTATTATCGCCATTTTTTTTTTCGCATAGAAACAAACGCATTATAAACAAATGGTGTAACATTTTAGTAAAGAGTATGACCACCTAGACTGCTATTAACAGCTCTATATCTGCTTGTCGGGCTTCCAATGAGGTTATCATGTGGGAGGAAAGCTAAAAAATTGAAGATACGAAAGTTGGGAGCTCCTGTTACAATCACAAGATGTCGATGTTTGTTGTTGATTTTTTTGTAGAAACAATAAAAAACATGGAGTTATTAAGTTATTAAAAAGCATGCAAACATACTGGTATTGGGTAAATCAAGCAAATATACAAAAACCTTTACGATCGGCTGAGTACTTGGATAAGGAAAACGAAAAATGATTACTATTCACAAAAGTTTGACTCCCACAAAATATGGAAACTGATAAACAAAAACAACAAATAAAAAAGAAATCACGAGGAACAGTCTTGTGTCGGGTAATTGATGAGAGCGTCATGAATGAAGTTCTGATGTGGAAATGACTGAAACTTTTAGTAAATATTTCAGTGATGTAAGTGTCGAAATGAAAGTAAATGAAATGAAAATTCTAATAAATAGAATAAAACAAGATTCCGCGTCTTATTCTCCTACCGCTCTAGCAAATTTAATATTTAAGACTAGGAGATAAAAAATAACCAACAATTATAGATCTATAGCTACAAACAGCAACTTATCAAAAATAATGAAAAATGTATTAAATTACCCTTAAATGAATATCTTGATAAGAATAATTTTATTTCAATATGCCTTTAGAGGAAACTAGTACGGAGGACGCTGTAGTCTGCCTAACGAACCATGTAAAAAATTGTTATATGCAAGGGAATTTTTCTCGACCTGGGGAAAGAATTTGACACAGGGGTTCACTAAATGGAAAAACTGAGATTACATTTGAAATAGAACTTCGAGTGTAAAAATTAACAATGCTCTCAGTAGCTTTCGAATGATGCGTCTTGGTGTTCCCCTGGAAACATTGCTGTGGACGTTAATGAGCTATTTAGCCTAATATCCAAGGAACAGGCAGACATAATCTGTTTTGCAGATAATACCGGCTATAGTCCGAAGAGATTCTGAAACATGAAAAAAGTTGGCATTGACTGTCAGAAAATACATTTAATATAACTAATAGATTCAAATTTAATATGGCAAGAGCGGATTGAATATATCTCTAATAAAATTGCAAAATTAGTATACAAATATTACAAACAAGTTATGACTTCAAAATGCAAAACTGTGTGCAATAAAACCATAATTGAACCTTGTGTGATATAGATTTATTTAATGGTGTCCGAGTATTTCAAAATCAATTGTATATAGAATCAGCGGTGAGATTTGCTTAAAAAAACACAAATGCTTGCACAAACCCACACAAACTGTAATATTCCAAATGCAAGACTAACTAATTTGAATTTAAGAATCAACCATTTCATAAAATTTAAAATTAACTCAAGCAGTGACTAATAAACAGTAAAATAACTTGGTTCTGTGCTTAGTACGAATTGTATAACCACTCTGTCTATCTGTCTATATAGTTGATAATCTTTAAATACTGAAAACAAAAAATAATGTTGTTCAATATGCAGTCCACAAATTGTATTGTATTGTTTTGTAACCCATTAGATTTCGGAATTTGCAAAATATTCTTAAAAAAAAACATTTTACACATCTAGCGTATGGAAAGCTTCGTTTCCTATTGCTGATAGTCACTTCCGATATTTTCGGGATATTGTCACACGGGTTTGAAAATAAGAGAATGTTTTCCGAGATATTTTAGCTACGGCTTGAATTTTGATGTTTGTCAGTTCTGACAGTCATGTCAGTGAATGTGTTCGTGTTCGTAGGAAAGATATAGTATGGTAAACAGTTTATTGATATGACATGCCAGATAGACAGATCTGCTTTCAGCAGGATGGAGTTCAGCCCCATTTTGCTCCACAAGCGCGTTAACAAAATATAAAAGATCTCAGCTATTACCTCACTGGATTTGTCATTTTGGGAATATTTAAAATTAAAAGTAGATAAGGTAAAATCACTAAATTTAGATGATGTCACATTTAGAATTAGATACGAAATAGGCAAATTAGTTAAAATATCCTTGGTAGTGTTTTGGTTTGGTTTAGGGATTTTAAATTTATTAGCATAATGTCAAGATATTAATGGTGGGCGTTTTTTTCAACATCTGATAAAATAATTTCTTTGACATGTTTTTTATTCTTTTGCTAATAAAATTCAAAAACGGATTTTCAAAAATGGTGTTGCACTAAAAAAAAATCTTGGTATCGCCTTCTTTTTTTTGCCGTAACCTGTATATTTTCTATTTACTGCAAAAGATGCGCAAGAAAAAATTATGATGGACGTGTATGAGCATTTTTCTTGAAACCCCATATCTGATTTTTAAATGAATTTGTTCCAGATTTTTGCCGTAAATTTATAATTTAAAACAATGTTTCTAATCGAGTTTTGTCTATTTGGATGTTGTTCAGCAATTGTTTTAATTGATTTGATTTTGATTTGTTCCATGCTTAGACATTAAACAACTTAATAGCATATTATGCAACAAGTGCGGTAAACGGAATTTGGCACTAGCGGAGCGAGTGTTTAATAAGCGAGTGACTTGAAAACTTTGCCAAATGTGTTGCATAGCTTACTTTTTCTACGACCGTTATTTTTTGGGCACTTTTTGGCAAAACAACAGGAATACAGTCACTGACGTAACCGTCAGAATTGACAAACGTCAAACTTCAAGCCGTGTCGTAAAATCTCCGAAAACATCCGATTCCTCCAAAACCCGTGCTGTAATATCCCTGAAATGTCCGAGCAGCTCGGATCCGTGGAAACTCACATGGCAAGATGACACTTTCCGCCCGCTTTATCGGTGTATAATTAGGTATTTTGGAGTAGAAAAAACTTTTGTGATAATAACTTAAGCACTAGCCATCAGTTAACTATTTATCGAACTATGATATTCTATTACAATGTTTCGCCGTTAGCATTTTTGCAATGGATATTTTTACATTTTTTGTAACAGAAAAATTTATGCAAGGTCAACATTTCTTTCAACGCCAAATAAGATGAATTTATAAAAATTGAGTGTTTCCTTTTGAAATAAATAACTTTTTCCTACTACTTTCTCTAAAAGCGTCAATTTACCACGTGACTTTCGTTTCCCGCGGATACGAGCCATTTCGGACATTTTCGCGATATTGGGACAATCGAATATTTTCGGAGATATATATAGAACGGCTTGACGTTTGTTAATTCGGACAGTCATGTCAGTGAATATATTCGTGTTGTTTTGCATACATGTACCCAAAAACTAATGGTAATAGAAAAAGTATAGCATGCAACACGATTGGTATACTTTTTAAGTCAAATGCCGTTTACCGCAATTTATAAATCAAACTTGCTGATGTCCCGTCAATTATCCAGTTGACTTTTTCATAGTGAAACTGAAACAGTTTGAGTTAGAAACATCCGACGCAGAAGGAATCCAGAAGATTTGTAAATAGTTATAATTTAACTGTTTAACTATACCTTTTCAGCATCATCTGCACACAAATACTGTGAAGTCCATAGGACACGATATTATTGTTGTGGAATCTTAGGTAGTTATTGTTCGAAATAAATTAAAATCAAATTAATAACATAATACATAATACATAACATAATAACTAATCATAGAAAAACATAAAAAAAAACTGTTCCATGGCTCATTCTAACTTGGCAAGCCCGATTTCCTCTGGAAAGCACAGGCACCCCTAACAGTCTTCAAACATGAATTTCATCGCTGTGTAGTCCAATTCGTATATTCCGATCACTTCCTTCCACGCGATTTACATTTTGGAGATCCATTTATATCTGGTTGGCCGTGATGGATCTGTTCCTTTATATACCTATATATTCTGTTCATTTCTTCCATCATCCATCCACCATCCATCATCCATGGTTGTATTACAAGTTAAGCACGTACCAACAAATTAATTGAGGAAATTAATGTGAAATTGGCAGGTTTCAAATGATTATTTATTTGCATTGTTTGTTTGAGTCATATCTATAACTTTTGTATTTAACATTTTTCTCTAAAACAAATAATAAATGAGATACGAGGGCAGCGCGAAAATTTCCCGGCCTGAATATGAAAGAAACAAAGTAGAGTAACATTTTTGTATTATTTTTCAATATAATCCCTCTCAACTTCCATACACTTATTACATCTCTTTATTAACACCTCAATCCCTTTAAAAAAATATTCTTTCGGTTTGTCTGCAAAATGACCTAAAACTGCCTCTTTTAACTCAACTTCGTCGTTAAACCGCCGTCCACGTAAGTGCTTTTTCAAATATCCAAACAAATAATAGTCGATGGGGACCATATCTGGACTATAGGACTATCTGTTGAAACCCACACTCTAAAGTGGCAGCTTGTGTAGGATTCGACGAACACTTGCATCAGAAAACTTAGTAATTTCTGAGATTTTCTTGACCTTTAAAGCTCGATCACTCAATACCACCTCTTCCACAATCGCAACAATATCTTCCGTTATGACCTCCACTGGTCGACCAGTTCTTGAATCATCTTCAAGAGACTCCTGCCCAATTCGAAAACGTTTTGCCCATTCTTTCACTACAGAATACGAAGGAGAATTTTGGCCGTACACACCATCCAGCCTTTCTTTAATAATTTTAGGTGCTAACCCTTCTTTTGACAAAAACTTTGTGACTGCTCTATACTCAATTTGCGTTATTTGCGACATTTTTTCGGACACGTCTTGTTTAAAATGCTGTCAATAAAAAACTATTTGACGCAAGACTTCAATTTTTTTTTCGCAGCCTACAAAGATATATATTTAAAAGGAGACAAGGTTTTATCGTGATACTGGAGCTGCATCTATGTCAGGCCGGGAAATTTTGGCGCTAACCTCGTATATTACTTTGACACTCTATCTAAACATTCTGTATATTTCTAGTATCTATATGTGTTTTGTATATTGTCCGAACATATCCAGGATCCTGATATCGTGGCCGTAAGCGAAGAATTGCGTTTTTGAAGCTGTTGACAGCTTCTACTAACTGTTTGCATACCAATACCATGCAATTGGGTATCGCGGTCAAGATAGTGACTCGTCTAAACACACTGATCGGCACAATAATAATTTCAACATTTTACATTTCTTTAGATACTACTTTTTATGACTGAAAAGGAATGTTCGAAACAAACACAGTGCAAGAGAATAGCCACATATCAAAAAAAAAATTATATAATTTGTGTTTTTGTTAATAATCTTTATCCCAGGGAAAAATGGTTTTTAGGCGTGTCCCGTTAATAAAATTTCGAGTTTCAACTTGAAATTTGGAATAGTGATATGAATTCCATCGTGTAATTCGAAATTTTAAAATATCAAGATAAAACAGGAACTTTTGGGTAAGACTATTTATTTTTGTACTCTTTCTTCATAAGGATGCGGTGTTCCATTCAATATTTTTTTAAAAAAGAATTTTTCTATTAAAACACTTCAATTGCGTAACACTTTCTAGTATTTTTTGATAGATTCGCATTTCTGTGAATTTGATTATTTTTACAAATTAACTTCTTATGTAATACGATAATCCCGTCAATTATAATACTTTTTCCATTTAAGAAGATAAGTAAAATCTTTAGGTTATTTCTACGTATAGATAGAAGGTATCATCGTCAATATATCCGTAAATAAATATGAGTACCAATTTGCGGGTCGTGGTGTCATAAACTGAAGATTACTAGTTCAATAACAAACGAGAGAAGCTAATCAATTGCTCATAAATCTACTCACAAATAGCAAATTAAAATTTCAGAAAATTTATGATACTTACGCCTACGCGTTGCAAGGGAGCCACGTCATCGTCGCCATAACAAAACAACGTATATTACCCTGCAATGAGCCTACTGCAATAAACGTAGTAAATGTAAATGTTAATTAAATTGGGCAAATAATGTTAAATAATGTCTATTTATTTGTTTCACCAATACTAAAATTTACAACTAATGTTTTAATAATAGAGGGAGCAGTCTATATTGTTATTGGTCAGGAAATCGGTTTTGGCAAATCCGTCAGAATCCACGCAATAGTAGTAAGTAACATCGCCGTTCATGGTCTGTTGTAAGGTCTTATAGTTTCCATTTCCTTCGCAAGCCTGGTTGTGATTATACAACATAAAGTCTTTCGCACAATCTGTAAAAAAAATCTCGCTAATATTGTTTAAAAGATCCTATAGACTATTTCAGAAAAGTGTAAAGTAATATAATAGGGAATTCCAGGTTCTCTTAATTTCCTTGTGCAGTCAAATTGTTATTGGCCCCGTTGTAATTTCGATACTAATAAAAGTCAAAACAGATCAGTAAAGGTTCTTCTCTGGAGATAAAAATAATTGTAATCGGAAAAAATTCACTCTTTTTCTTTTAAAAAGGAAACAAATTTGAAAAGATCGGTTTTGGGGAAGTTATTTGAGAGCGGTGAAAACAATTGATAACTCCAAGGTTTTCGACTGCGTTCCTCACGACTTGATGTTGAAATTTTTTTCGGTGAAGATACCATTGAAACTAACTGAACTACTAACTAACTAAACTACCTCCTTTCACAACCAATGTGTTGAACAGAGTGGTGAACTTTCTTAGTGTGAAATAGTGTGAGGTTACTCGGTTCAACTATTGATGACAGTTTGATTTGGTCTGCACATGTATCCACTATTATATATTTGATGAGATGGCGCAAACCGTTTATTAGTTTTAGCATATTAAAAATGTACTATTATCGGGTTTTCTACTCAAAGCTGTATGGGGTACCAGTACAGCTGCAAAAAGTACTTTTAGTTTGCAAAAAACGCAATTCGAGTATTAGTTGGCGAAGGTTACAAAACTCAATGCCAACCTATTTTTTGCGTGCATAGAATCGTGCCTCTGTCGTATCTCTACTAGTCTCTACTACTAAAAAAGTGGACCTACCATTTTTTTAAATTTGCCACTTAAGAAATTCTAATCTTGAAATGCCTAAACTTAAATTAACCAAGTGTAGGAAAAACTATCCAGAAATTGAACTGAGGTGGCTTTTACTTGATGAAAATCAATTTAACAAAATAAATAATAACTAAAAGTTCAGATTTTCACGAATTCATATATTTTTACATGACAATTGTTTCGGCAACACCGTGTCTTTATCAAATGTATTATTTACAAACTACCTGCTACTATATATACCGAAAAATGACAATAAAAATAAAATAAAATAAAATAATAATAATGAGGTATTTAAATCTAATTGAGCGTTAAGCAATACATTTGAATGTCTCATTGGCTTCCAATAAATTTAATTTTCAACTTTTTGTGGCTGTATGTACAATATCAAAATTATCGTCAAAAATGTGTTTTTCTGTGTTTAAGTGTGTAGCATAATTAGAATCTAGACTATTGTTTTTAATCGCTCTTTTATGTTCGTTAATGCATTTCTTGAATGATCTACCTGTTTGTCCAATATAAATTTTATCACAATATCCGCCTGTAGACACCTGATTTTTGAGATTTTGGTCATTTCGTTTTATTGTTTTTTAAAAATTTTCCTTTTGTGTTGTTAGTTCTGAAAGCTATTTTTAAACCACATTTTGTCAAATGCTTTGAAACTTTTTCACTGGGTTCTCCTATGTATGTAATGTGTTCTGTATTAGATTTCGGATAAATAGAGTTTACTATTGCCTGGATTTGTTTTTTATTTATAATTTTATCGATAATGAAGGGATTGTAGCCATTGTTCAGTGCAATTGGTTTAATGATATTAAGTTCTTTGTTGTAGTTTTCTGTTGAGAGTGGCGTATTAAGAAGTTTGTGTATAAAAGAGTGCTGAGCTGTTATGTATGACTGTGTCCGTGCGTGAATGCTTATGGTAAATGGAAAAATCTAATTGGTTTTGCGTATTCGTAAAAGTTAAGTCTAAAAAATTAATAGAGTTATCGTGTTCAATCTCGATAGTGAATTTTATACGATTATGTAATGAGTTAATGTAATTTAAAAAAGAATTCAATTGTCTGTCCGTTCCAAGAAAGCAAGCAAAGACATCATCCACGTATCGATACCACCATAGAAAACTTTTACTTAAAGGATATTCTAGTATTATATTTTTCAAATTATCCATAAAAATCTCGGCTAACAAAGGACTAAATTGGTTTCCCATAATCAAACCTTCCTTAGAGATGTAAATTTACACACACACTAAACTTTTAGTTCTTATTTATTTTGTTAAAACTATCCAGTCTTCAAGACTTATCACTGTCTCCCTGATAAAATAAAAAATATATTTTTAAAGATTTAAAAAATATGTTAAATAATATTTTCCTTTACGTTGTTGTTTTGTATTTTTTTTATTATATATTTTCTTCCAATCTATATTTCTTCCCTTGACTTGTGAAATTGAAAAAATATAGTCAATAGAATTCTATCCTATCTATTGTATTTTCACCCGAGGTAAGATTTTAGTCGAACTTGAGCAGCTAGTGACTCAATAGTATGTTATGCCACAATTGCAGTTAACGGCATTTGACTTAAAAAGTATACCAATCGTGTTGTATACTATACTTTTTCTATTACCATTAGTTTTTGGGTTTATTTATGCAAAACAACCCGAATATATTCACTGACATGACTGTCAGAATTAACAAACGTCAAGCCGTTCAGTAATATCTCCGAAAATATCCGATTGCTATCAAACTCGTACGGCAATATCGCGAAAATGTCCGAAGTGGCTCGTATCCGTGGGAAACGAAAGTCACGTGGTAAAGTGACGCTTTTATAAATTTAACTTATTTGGTATTGAAACAAATGTTGACCTTGCATACATTTTTCTGTTACAAAAAATGTAAAAAAATCCATTGCAAAAATGCTAACGGCGGAACATTGTAATAGAATATCATAGTTCAACAAATAGTTATAACTGATGGCTAGTGCGTAAGTTATTATCACAAAACTTTTTATACACCAATAAAGCGGGCGGAAAGTGTCATTTTGCCATGTGAGTTTCCCACGGATCCGAGCTGCTTGGACATTTCAGGGATATTACAGCACGGGTTTTGGAGGAATCGGATGTTTTCGGAGATTTTACGACACGGTTTGAAGTTTGACGTTTGTCAATTCTGACGGTTATGTCAGTCACTGTATTGCTGTTGTTTTGCCAAAAAGTGCCCAAAAACTAACGGTCGTAGAAAAAGTAAACTATGCAACACATTTGGCAAAGTTTTTGTTGCATAATATATGATTAAATTGTTTAATGTCTAAGAATGGAACAAATCAAAATCAAATCAATTAAAACAATTGCTGAACAACATCCAAATAGACAAAGCTCGATTAGAAACATTGTTTTAAATTATAAATTAACGGCAAAAATATGAAACAAATTTATTTAAAAATCAGATATGGGATTTCAAGAAAAATGCTCATACACGTCCATCATAATTTTTTCTTGCGCATCTTTTGCAGTAAATAGAAAATATACAGGTTACGGCAAAAAAAGAAGTCGATACCAAGATTTTTTTTTAGTGCAACACCACTTTAGAAAATCCGTTTTTGAATTTTATGAGCAAAAGAATAAAAATCATGTCAAAGAAATTATTTTATCAGGTGTTGAAAAAAAATGCCCACCATTAATATCTTGACATTATGCTAATAAATTTAAAAACCCTAAACCAAACCAAAACACTACCAAGGATATTTTAACTAATTTGCCTATTTCGTATCTAATTCTAAATGTTACATCATCTAAATTTAGTGCTTTTTCCTTATCTACTTTTGATTTTAAATATTCCCAAAATGACAAATCCAGTGAGGTAATAGCTGAGATCTTTTACATTTTGTTAACGCGCTCGTGGAACCAAATAGGGCGGAGCTCCATCCTGCTGAAACCAAATCTGTCTATCTGGCATGTCATATCAATAAAATGTGAGAGAATTGTCGGTCTCCAGTATGATTTTGATCTAAGAAATAAAGTCCAGTAATTTTGTTATTTATGATTTATGAATTTATCTCATTCATCCGGAATTATTTGAACTCCAATACCTACAGTTTTGTTTATTTAAAGTACCATTTAAACAAAACGTGGCTTCATCACTTAACAGTATCTGAGTATAATATAGATTTAAGTTACAGTTACAGTTTAAGTTTGGTTAGTCGATTTAAAAAAATGGCGTTAAGTTTAAACAAAGGAACATCATTATTGACATCTACTTTTTGACCCACCCTGTTTACTACAAAAAAATCATAACCAAAATATTATGATGCACATATACAAGCATTTTCCTTTAAATTCAATGCCTTATTTTTAAATACATTTATTCTGTATTTTAGGCGTTCACTGTTTATTATAAAAAAGAACTAAAAAAACTCATTTTTATGTATTTTTTACAAATGTTGTAAACAATAAACTATCTTTTTAATTTGTGTTATTTACTAACACTTATGTCTTCATTATGTTTTTTTAAACCTCTTAGAGACTTCTTTGTATTAAAATAAATACAACAATAAAAAATGACTAAATTATATTATGATTCAATTATTTAAATTAATTAATTAAATAAATTTAGCATTTATCTTCAAAACAATTACACAACTAATTGATCGATTCATATGTAAACTATGAATAATTTCTTCTATATTGTTATTTAAACAACGTCTGCCTTAAGATATAATAAACGCATTTACGCTTTCAAGGAAATTTCGTTTGTAAATATCTGCCATTTCTGCATTCGAATAGTTCACCATTGTTGATTTGAAACTCCTATTATTGAACAAACAAATTTAATTGGAATTTTTGATTGAATTAGAGGTATTTTGTATGTAAGCTAATTTTCCCTGCTTTTTTTCTATTTGGCTGTATAGAAAATTTAAGAATTGTTATATAAATTGCTAACTAAATGTATTAAACATGTCCTTTTCAATGAAAAAAAAAAACGTTAATTAAATAAAAAAAATAGGAACAAAATGTTCAGAAAACATTTTTGAAAATTTAGGTTTCTCACTTTTTGAAAAAAAAATAGATATGTCTTTCATATATTGTTCTTACTTAAGAGTGTTTCAATTACGGCGGAATACAAAAACTTCCCACATAACCTATAAAGTATTCTTCATAACCAGTGATATCTGGAGTCATTTGGAAATGTGTGAAATTTTTGTTAAATCCGTGAAATTTGTGAAATCAAAGGTTTGTGTGAAATCTGGCCTACCAATTTTGGTTGGCGATTTGCCCCTCAGAATTTCCCGAAACATTCAAGAATTATTTAATATTACTATCTATAATAATATAATATTTCCTGCGTATAAATGGAAATAAACAAAATTTTCTTGAAGCTTTTGGGAAACTTTCAACAGGTTCCGAGAAAAGGTATCATCACGAAAGTGCTTCATAAGTTCTTCCTGTATTATTCGTATAGCAGGTCCGCTATATCTTTAGCAGCTATACAGGGTGACCACGAAACTAGTGTCCACGACGGTTTTTTAAAATGGCTGGCTTGAGCTAAAATAAGTTTTTCAACGGAACACCTTGTATATTATCAATTTTTTGGATTGGCTAAACAATTGCAAAGACATGTATGTAATGAGCCCTTTTTATTCTGTTAAAACAAAGTGTTTCCAACAGAGATGAATTTGGCACCCCATTTTCAGTGGTAAAAAGGAGGAATTTTTTACCTTACGAATTCGTTCAATTATCCTGCTGTACCGTTGCATGCCTAATGAGGTTTTATTACCTTACACCTTTCTGAAATAAACTTAGTGTTCTTCCTAGCATTCATACAAGATAACGAAATCACTAAACAATTTAACAGAACCGAGCGACAACTTACTGCAATCAACTGACACTCCTGCTTCGACATTACTCTGCCATGTTCCAATTTTACTGTTATCGCGCCAGGTACAGTATGCTCTGAAATATTTAATTAATTTAACTTTTCACCAGTTATTAGTCTCTAAATTAAATTGAAGACATGTGGTATTTTTGCAACCATGCTGCCACTTATAAAATGGTAGAGTAGCGCCTTGAAAAGTGTTATCCCTAGAGCCAAAATATTTCAAATAATCATGGCCTCGATGGGTTGACATCTTTTACTTTTCAACTTTTTTATTACTGAAGTCCTATTCATAAACTTTTTGGATTCCTCCTGTGTTGTTTATAAAAAAATAAATCATCCTGTTGGTTTCGTTGGAGCTTAACGGAAGTTAGTTCGCATTCTAATATGTACACCGTGTGCCAAGTAAAACGATCCACTATACGATCTGGAAACCCATAAGAGATACGAAAAAAAGTTTCGTACAAAATTTTCTTAAGATTAAAAATATTATGATTTTGTTGATACAGGGTGTCGCAAAATTGTCCCTCCGACATCATCTTTGTTATTTTAAATTGAATCAACTTGTATATTTGGAGATTTTTTGAATCCTTGGTTAAAATAAAGGATATTTTTTTAACAAATTCCTATTCGACACATGCATAGATTTGTCAGAAATTGGGGTTGTTTTTTTTTTCATATTCTGATCTAGGTAGGCAACGAAAATATAACCACAGACTAAGGAGATGATGCAATACTGATTCAATTTGATAGATGCGCCTCAGCCTATAGAGGATGTCCCAAATAGGTGGTGCTGTTTTGGCGAATTCAGTTAACAAATTCTCAAGATTTTCAAATTGAACACCCTATAATTTTATTCAGATATCAATTCTAGGACAAAAAATAAAGTAAGTTTGTAATTTATCTTAAATTTAAATTTTATTTACTTTTTGAGATATTCGATTAAGATAACCCCGTATAAAGTCTTGTTGAATTTAAAACTGCCCACATTAGGCAATATTAAGTATTTTTTAAATTGCAAAGACATGATACTACTTTTAAAGATACAATACTGCAGATATACGAATAAAAGCTATTGCTAACAATACAGGGTTAACAAATACATTAACAAGTGAATTATTTTTTTTTAAATTTACTCTATACTGTACATCAACTCCTTAGTCTGTGGTTAATTTTTCGTTGCAATACTTTGATCAGTAGCATCACAATACAATTTCATATGGGACAATCAATCATGAATGAATGAATCATGAAACACTTAACGTCAATTTCTGCCTAAACTATGCAAAATTCGAATAGGAATTTCATAAGAAAGTGACCGTTATGTTAACCAAGGATTCAAAAAAATGTCATGTGTTCCATTTAAAATACCAAATTGATTTCGGAGGGAAAACTTTTGGGACACCCTGTATCAACAAAATTATAATATTTTGTACGAAACTTTCTTTCGTATCTCCTATTTGTTTCCAGATCGTTTTATTTGGCACACGGTGCAACTGCCCACATATTGTTTGAGGCGGGCGGAGCTACAGGAGGGACATGAGTGTTGTTTCGGATGACTAATTCCTATATTAGTGATAGGTAAAGATCTGAATCGTAGTTAAGATTGTTTGATGGCTTATAGATTTCTATAGATTCTCGGATTTCGATAATTGATATTTTCCGTCCGGTGATTCCATTGCATTCTTTGCCGCATATGTATGGAATTCTGTAAACTCCTGGTATTTCGAACGGAAGTTTGTCTTTGAGGAAACGAAAATGTTGAAAAATGTTTGGACAAGTGACAAATCTGGTTTTGACGTTACATTTCTTAAGAACTTTTGTATATGGTGAGCGATGTTATCAATGTACGGGAGGACAACAGTGGCAAGTGCAAATGCTTTTGGACTCATTGTCTTTGGAAGGGTTTGGTGAAGTGTATTTTATGATAGAGCACTTAATATCCCTCAAATGCAAATTATTAGAGAGGAGAGCAGATGTAACGTATTTTAGTTCTAGGTTCAGCAACTCCGATTCAGATAGTTTTAGGGATTCTTGACTATGAGACCAAATAACAATAATATCATCAACATAGCGTTTCTATAATTTTGGAATTAAAAGGTGTCGAGGGATTTTTTCTCAAAGGCTTATTAAATTCGGAATGACTGGTGGTACTGGAGGACCCATAGCTGTTCCCGAAATTTGTTGATAAATTTGAATATTACAAGTGTTCTAGACAAGCAATTTTCAATTAAGATAAAATGGTTTGGTTCCAGATTCCCGGGTTTTAAGATACTGTTGAGAGTTTCAGGAATAGGAACTTTAGTACAGATGGATGTAATGGTTCTCAATTGTCCAAAGAAACGAAAAGAATTAAGCACGAAACTACCAATTTGTTGGGGAACCTGGTTTGTGAATCTTAGGGAGTGCGCAGAGACGAGGAATTTTAGAACCAGGAGGAGTGACACACGTTTTCATGGATTTTGATAGAAAAGAAACCTTAAGAGATTTAGAGTTGCTTTCCATAGATGACGTACGATCTTTTTATGTTGACGATAGCCTGTAAGGATATCTTCAGTTTTTTCTTGATATTCACTAGTGTTCATTTTTTATTTCCTTTATCTGCTTTTATAATTACGATTTCGGGATTTTATTTTAAGGATGTGCTAGAAGGTTTGGACTTTTTATTGGTTTTTGCGGTTTCAAATCGAATTTCATGAGCTGTTTCATATTGCACTTCCTTTAGGATAGACTCGACGACATTTAAAATGTTTTTCTCTTTTGGGATGAAGTTAGAATCCACCATGAGAATTAATTTTTCCGTCTCAGAAACTTTGGGCGATGATACATTTACCAGAGTGTTTGGTAGTTGAGAAAAGATAGATGGTTTCACTAGTGTTGCCGTCAGTTTATAAAATTTTTGAATGCGATTTCTATACGGGTATGATGAAGTCTTTCTCGTAATAAAGCAAAACCAAATTGAAGAAGAATGTTACAAGCAGATGAGGTTTTGACGTGAGAAGATATTTTAAGAAAATTTGGGATTACATCATGGTCATTGTACAGAGTAATCTTGAAAGTTTTAGTAGGTGATCCTCTTCTTTCTGCTTTTGTACTTGATGTGCTCTCCATAAGGACTTGTCAATTTTTTAAAGAAACTCCTAAGACAATTTGCATATTCCTCGACAACTGACGCAAGATGAATCCAGAAGATTTGACAGTAAGCATAGTACTTTGCTCAATTTTAATAAAGGTTCTGGTTAATTAGCTATCAGCTTGGTATTATGACATTACAGATTAGCATATGTCCGCAAAATATGAGACTTCAAATTCGAGAAAAAAAAAATAAAAAAAAAAGAACAAAGGATAGAGTTCCAAATATTTGTATATAACAGAAGTTTGCCGATGTGAATATTTTCCTACCAAGTTGAAAAATTTACAACTTACATCCCCGATGACAACATGTAGGCGCCATAAGCTCCATCGCCATCGCACAGCAAGAAGTCAGTTGTAATCCATTTAGCGCCATGAGTTCTCAATTTGTTAACAATCAATTCTTGTGCATATTTCTTGCTTTCGCACTGTCGCAAATATTGACTTCCGATCACCGCCGTGCTATCTATAGTAAATTGGTGTACTGTTAGAATGTGCTTAGTTAAATTATGTTCACAATGAAAATATAAATCTCAAAGTCAAATCTGAAGATTTAGATTATTTGACGTATTTCTCGAAATTAGAAAAATAAAAGACGTATCTAACACAGCATAATCAGTAACTTTTTTGTTAGTGAAACTTACAAAATATTCCTGCCTTTCTTAATTTTTGAGAGACAGGGCGAAACAAAAAATGATACATTTTGAGATCCCCAACTAAAAGAAAAGGACAAAACTGCGAGAATAATTTTTGCATAGCATTGCCGTTTTCGTAATAAACATACGGCACAAGTTCAAGAAGTTAAAATGGGACATTCGTTATCGTTTTGCTGCTTGTTACTCAGTTTCTATTCAGATTATCCAAAATATTTGTTTGTTTACAAATATTCCGAAGAATTAAGCTAAACTTTTTTTGATGTTATATTTTTTTGAACAATGCGACATGGTTTCCAATATACCCAGAGCCCCAAAAATGAAAAAATAAATTTGGTACATCGGCCAAGAGAAAACACTTGCTAAAATGGCTACCTGAGGGCATAATCGCGTTTTAATAATAAATCTAGATAAGTCTGGTTTTAAAAAATCCATCGCAGTGACATATATCGTTTGTGATGGAACGAGGTTTCTTAAAAAGTTCTAATAAATTTGGCAATCAACTTTACCATTGAAGAATAAGATTCGATCTCCCAAAATACCACACCAGACGTACACACTCCACCGATTTTGATAATTTACTTTACCAATAATGCATATTATGTAAATCGACTCTTCCATTTTTACTCCAAACTTATTATTCTTAAGCTTAAATGGGGATTAATATGGACATAAGCATTAACATTGATGACTTTTTTCTTGCCAAACCCGTCTTCCCCCTTTGTCTTATTTCGAGCAAACATTTGCTTAAATGACTAAAACTAAAGTAAAATGTCTTCTCTTGGGACAATTTGCTGCGTATACTCACTCACACAGGCATTTTGATGACACTGGGAAAACACAACCAACATGTCGCATGCTTCGGCAGTAAATTAAGACATTTTTAATAGAATAAACGCAATCACAATAAGTAATATGACCATTTAAAATGGTCGACGAGCATCAAATAATGATTTGACCCCTTCAAAAAAAGGCAGACTATTAAAACAACATTTGGCAGCAAAAAAAGTGGTTGTTTGATAATCTCGATGATTAGGAATTAATATCTTCGGTCAAAGGAGATGTGGGGTACATATCTCGTTTTATTTCCAAGGAAAAGCTCTTTTTATCGATATTTATTTCCGGAAATGTTGGAGAAATCCTCGCCACTCAGCTTTAAAATAGTGTCCACTCTAAGTGTCATTAATATAAGATAATTTTGCAGAAGACGGGTTTTATCATTCAAGGAGGCAATTTCGCCCTCTGATTGACATTTCAGACCCTCAAAAACAGTTTCCGAATCTTTTCTTCTTGTTTTTAGGAAAACAAGTTTCCCCAATACCGTACCTCGTTGCCCTTACTGGTACACGCGGTATATTGGTAAATTACTTTTTAAGTTTTTAGTCTTATTATTACTTGGTGTTTTATGAATGGTGTTTTATAGATAGGCAATAATTGTGCTTTAATACATTCAATAAACCTCAAAGCTAAAGTTTAGAATAAAAAAGTAAACAGATTAACGAAATTTGTGTTTATGCTAGTGTTCATGCAACGTCTGAGACTTGCAGAAACTTAGAGTGAGTGTATTAAATCGTAACTGAAAGCTTACATGCTAATGATGTTGTGTACATTTGCGAGCAAAGGCAATAAGAGAATAATTTTCTTTTAATGCCGCTTGTTTCATATTAGGAACGTGAATAAAATTTTATAATTTTGAAGGACGTATAGTTCAACACACGATAAATGGTAATGACTGTAGCAATTTCATTAATGGCAGCTTTTTGGGCCAATTAACCAAACCGATACAGGGTAGTAGTAAGGAAATTAAAAACAAAATATCCGAATATAAATTAGTCATCAGAATAGTTTGAATCTGTGCAATCACTATCATCAAAAGATTTAATGAATGATTTTACGTTGACACCCATTCTAACATTGTTTTTTAATTCTGCCCATATCATTTCTATAAGATTCAAATATCAGTGATAAGGTGGTAATCCAAGAGCTATATTCCGGATTTTGTTACAACCTCGTCTACGAAATGACCCTAAAGAAATGCGATCTACTCTAAGGGAATTAAATCTAAAACTACGAGTATGATAGATAATTAGGTAGATAGATAATTTATTCAAAAAGCAAAACAAATTAAAACTTATCTGTATATTAAAAAAAATTACACATTACCGAGTATTACAAGCATTTTTTTTTTAATTTTAACGCTATTGAATACATTTCAAATTCCAGGCTGTAGAAATCATTGGCCGACAGGAGCCTCCAGCATGTTTTTTAAATTAATTTGTTGATAGATTCTTAAAGCTTGAAGGAAGCAAATTATAATACTATGGTCCTGTGTAGTGACACTCTACCTCAACTCAGTAATGATTTCTTGGTTACCTCTATTCCAAAGTTCGTAGGAGATAGTGAAACTCGAGAGTTCTATGAAAATATTGTAATACCGAATATTATGAATAATCGCTTATAATTTCAACATGTAAAAGAAATTCAAATACTTGAAATTATCAATATACTGAAACCAAAGCTACCGGAATGCACATATCCAAACCATTAAACTTCTGTCTAGAAAACTAGGAATTTCCTAGTGAATGGAAGAAAGCTCGAATTCTGCTACTATTTAGGATCCTTAATGCTGCTACAGCTTAGAACCTTCGGCCTATAGGTATTCTACCCATGTTTTTAAAGATCTTAGAGAAAATAATTGAGACAGCAATCAAGATTCAGATGTTGCACGGCGCTTCTCAATATTACTGTTGATATGTTTAAGTTCTCGGACAACGGCGTGTATGTTGGCATTGTTAGATTATTTTAAAGCGTTTAATACAATTAATCATCCGTTGCTTTTATCGATTTGGAACTCTGCACGAAACCCCATTAAAAATTATCTTATCAACCGTGAGCAGGCGGTGGTTTTTGGTGGCAGAATATCACGTTCTCTAGAAATATCCTCTGGAGTCCCTCAGGGTTCTATTTTGCGACTTCTGTCATTCTCGATTTATTTATTACAATTCTCAAAAGTCTTTTTATCGTGTCTGCATCACTTTTATGCAGATAATACTGATTTCTGATCGATGAAGCCAACCAGGCTATTTCTGAGTTAAACTACGACCTTTATAAACGCGCAGTATTTAATAAAAATCATTACCTTAATTTTTGGAAAAACATGACATAACAAAATTTTGGCATACCTACAATAATGTGTTAAATATAGATGGTGAACCAACACACTTTAATTCAGCGCTGAGATTTACTCCAACTGTCTAAAAAAAAAGTACATTAACTTAAAATTATTTCTTCAACATAGACATGATTTCTGTACACCCCTTAAATAGGTACTTTGCTAATGATTAGTCTTATCTCAAATGTCATATTGCGATATTGTCTATGGTCCCTGCTGAACAGCCCATGATAGGTACAGAAAACAAAAGCTACGAAATTCTTGTCAGCGCCTTATCTATGACATTCGCAAATTTCAGCATATTAGTCACATTAGGGTGGGTAAAAAAGAAACGTTTTTTTTTATCTGACACACAAAAACTAGTTACCTCTAGAAAGTACATTTTATTAAATAATTTTTATAGGAACTTGAAAGGTCAACAATATTTTTTTGACAAATCGAACCATTTCAAAGATATTCGAGATCAAAAGTTGAAGAGATTTGTTCTGAATGTTGTTATTGACTGAAATATAGTTATTGTGAACTGTTTTTAATTATTCTTATAGAAAATTTAATGTTCTACAAAAAAGGCCTCTTGTAGTTTATCGATTACTTGAACCATTTTGAAGATATTTGCATTAGAATTCCAATTGTTACTTATACATAGTTTTTAATAAATATTTTTTCAATTTATTCATTGAATTATTAAATTTTGAGATTATTTATTATCTATTTCAGAAAACAAAGTTCTTTATTCAAGAAATTCTATACCTTAATACAGTATTAATAGAAAAATTTACATTGTTTAGATTTTGTTCTACAAATCGAATTTGATGACACTCAGGAAATAACCCTCGGTGTTCTTTGACAACTTGCAGCAAGTGTTGAATTTTTTCTTCGTTTTTCGTCAAACACTGATTATGTTCAGAGACCGATGCTACTCCACGCTCAGCTGCGTCATTTACAATTTTCATTTTTTTGAAATACTCTTCATCATATAATATCTGTCCATAAGCTCATATCTCTTATCATGTCATTGATGAATTTTTTTTAAATGTTTTTGTTAGCAAATTTTGTAAATGCTTTAAAATTCATATCACATTGAAGACTATCTAATATGTTTATTTCTTTACGTCGTATAATACTTTAAGAACAGTCAACATTCTGGCAATGCTAAACTAAACGATGCCTATATGTTAAAATTTCTTTTGATGTCGATTTTTTTTTACTTAATTCAGTAAGGAACTTTTGCGATACCTCTTTTTTGTTGTTGAGATATTTGGAAGAAGAGATTTTTTTGACCCAAACTTCCAATAATTTTTAATGTCTTTGTGCTGATAGTAGCAAAATCGGGTTTTTCTTGATTTTAATGAAGGTAAAGGGCCTTGCGTTTATGATAGCCCAGGCAAGTCATGACTATTTATCGTGTGCTGGACTATATCACTGCAAGTCGTTATCATGAGGTACAACTAGACATATTGGCAATATTCTTGGCTCCTTTAAGATAAATTTCTAACAAGTTGTTATATAGAAGATTGGATTGGCACACACTGACCTGTTCTATGGTCTCTTAGATCCTATCGGACCTATTGGATCAATTTTAAATACACAGAACTGCACAACTGTGCTGCAAATACATGCGCAAATCAGTTCGAGCAGATTTTTCTATGATATACAACTACATATTTTTAAAAATCTGGAAACAAGCTGAATGATAGTAAGAAAAACAAATAAAGTAGTGTCCCGTAACCTCTACAGATGAGCCCGTGGGAAAGCTACACAAAAAGCTATTGAGAAAAAGTTTTGTGCTTTCCAATCAGTACCAAGATAACTGAGGTATCGGATGGGGTCTCAAAATGTATGATTTTTAGATTCCCTCTATGTCCCCAAAATGAAGCAATGTAGGAAAATTTTGTATGGCTCATTCTTTGTTAATAACTAAATGTTTGTAATCATGTTAACTTGATCGATAAAAAACGAAATAAGGGGCTTGCTTACAACAAGGCAGTTTGATCATTGCTTTCATCGGTACAACTGCGGATGTCAAGTCTCCTGTCTTTGGCTCTACGCACCAACATTGTTCGCTCACGGCATCGCACTGTAGTTGCTCGTAGTTGCCCATCGAGTCGCAATGCAAACTTACGTAAAAATGTCCTTGTTCTTCCAGTTCGGCTTTTCTTCTGCTGCAAGCTTTTGGAAAATGATTAATTTTTGGCACGTCAATTTTGATAAACTCACCGCAAGTCATATCGTCCGCGTCTGCCCGGAGTGCTTGCCCAAAAATTCGTTTTCCTTTGGCGCTGTAGCAGAAGCATCTGTAAATACAGTTCCGGTAAACTATGGTGGCATCTTTTGCATGAACGTATATTTTATTTTAGGTTCTAATTTATTGTGTAATAAGCTATTCCGCTGTAACCATGCGGACTTGTATATATTAATTAGTATTTGAAAATAATGCTTAGCAAGTAATATTTTGTAAGTAGCTTATTAGCCTCGATCGATTAGAAGATGGGTGTGCACGTTTTTTATAGATAAATGTGTAGAAACTCTTGAGTGTCTTCCTATATTCATAGCGTCCGAATGACCAAGGAACGACAATTTTTCATGCCGATTCTGCTAGTTTACGCATTGAACTTAAATTTTTGAAACATGGGCAACACACAGTGGAAGGAGGAACTTATAATAGGACAATCCGGAAACAGTGGTGGTGTATCGACTGAAGGCAAAAATGTAATTATTAGATAGCTCTTGTTGCTATCATTTCCTGATTGTTGGAATTTGTTTTTATTACATTGGAAAAGGAAAACCAGGGCTACACGCCTCGACTGGAAGATATGTACGTAAACAGCAAGAAATACATATATTATTGTATTATTAGTTTAAGACCTTATATGCCAGATGAGTGTAGAATTTTCTAAGTTGCTAGGTATCGCTAAATCATTTAGAGAAAAAAGGAATGGCTATAGCGTAGACAAGATATAGAGGGGGTAAATAAATTTTTAGGAGAATTAGAATTACTAGAGAACAGATTTAACAATCTTAAGGATAGTTATAAGAGGAGTTTGCGGAAAAGAAAATATCGATATAGTGAAAAGTCATGACAAACAAACGTTTTAATTTTTAAAATCTTGTAAGTAAATATTGTTAAAAAGGCGAGAACAAATTAAAGTTAAGGATAGGTTAAACGTACTAGGTGAAATCTCAGAAGCTGGGTGAAAAATTTGACTTGTTGCTCCGTTGTTAACCAACTTATATGGTAGTTAAGACGCCGTCAAACAACTGATTGACAGTATTGAATTGTATAACGACAATGTTGATGTCGATAAAATATGTCCTTAATATCAAGCTCACACAAAGTTCAAAACTTCGCCTAGATAGTTCACATACTACTGTTACGAGATATTAAAAATCATTTATTAACCAAACAATCTGCATCCTCCTTAGCGACGCAACTTGGTAAAAACTTGGTAAAAACTATCGAACAATTAATGCTTAATTTAACAATTTCTCAGACAGATGACGAACATTCCACAGCTATACTGAAAAATCGATGAAATCGAATTTTTCGAAAGTAAAGGCGCTTGGCAACGAACTTCACAAAAAAAAATTTTGTGTGTCCGTTCTCCGGTCTCTGTCCTCTGTTCTCCGTATCTTTTGAACGGTTTGCAACACGGCCTTCAAATTAGGCTTCTTTTCAGCCATGCACGAGCTACGCAAACCAATAGAAAATGAGACTATGAAACACGATAAGTGTCCGAAATTTGAAGCCATCTACTTGAAATTTGACACACATATAGAATGTAGCACCGTGACGAAGCCTATTGGGAGTGAGGGGGCTGGGGGGTCGGGAAGTATTTTTAAAATTTTAAAAACCGCATTTGTAGGGTATCGAGAAAAAATCATTTCTCGATGATGGTATATGCGATCAAAAAAATTCTTTAACCAAACGACGCGCAAGATCCGGACCAAAAACCTTTATTCTTGATGATTTTTTTTAAATGTACAGGGTGCTTCGGTAATTTGCAAAAAAACTGAAAATTGAGCTCCCTTTATATTGATAATTGATCAATAACTAGAAGGCTATGATTCCGTTGTCAGTTTCTTTCACATTTCTACACAGCCCGTATGGACAGCTAAAACTTTTGTATTTAAGGTTTTCACATACTGTGCAGGGAGTTCGAAATATTCTGTGCTATATTCTAAATAATAATAAATGTCTCAAAAATGTAGTCATCGACAACAATAAAGTAAAAGTTCATATGCACATCTAAAAAGTTGAAATTGAGCGTAGTGAATTGTCACCAAATTTTTTTTGGTTTCCAGAAAAACATGATTTTCTCAAAAACTATTCAACCGATCGGCAAAATTTTAGAGCCAGAAAATGTGGGAAATCCGGAATTATGACTTTTATTTTAGGCATTTTTTCGATTATATACAGGGTTTTCCAAATATACATAAAAATCTAAAAGACCATGAAAATTGTACTTTTTGGAAATAAATTATTAACCGCAAATCAAAATTCGTATAAAATATGGCCAATCAATTCACACAGTGTTATACATCAAGAGTAACAATTTTTGTATTTACGGTTTTCGTCTATCACATACGCTGTTCGAGATATTTGAAAAAATCCATATGAAAATCGCTGATTCTCGCCACCAATCTAGACGCGATGACGTCATTTACTATTACCACGTACTGCATGGTTTTAGAAAACAACTCAATACCAGGAAACGTGGGAGATCCAGGGCTATAACCTTTATTTCGAACATTGTTTAAATTATATACAGGGTGTGTCGTTTATAGGCAAATATATCAAGAACATTGAATGAAAGACTGCTAAAAATCAGTTAATTTGATTTGAACGGTATCGTAAATTGTATCGAGAGAGAGTTTCAGGTTTCGTCAATTATACAGAGATGTTTGAAAAAATATCATTCAACAGCGCTGTTATGTGTACAAATTTTAATATTTAACAACGTTTGCTGAAACTTTGAAGTTCGGCGAGGCTTGAAAGACACTTTATACAGGGTGCATGCACAATAAAATTACCTCGATTTAGCGAAAGTTCCATAATGGTCCGCAGGAGCACGATAGAAAAACATTGCGTCACTTTACCACAAGAAACCGCTAAGCTCTTTCTTTTTAAAATAAAAAGCTGCTGCGCGCCACTCAGCGACAATTTTTCCAAAGCAATCTTGTCATTAATGCTTTTTGTAACGGTCTCACAGCTAATGATTTGCGAACAATTATAAAAGAGCGCAATTATGACAAAGTAAAAGACGCAATAAGTGGAGCATTGCGCGAAGAAGTGTCAAGATCTTCCAATCTTTAACGAGTAAAATATACAAGTGTAAGCGTTACCAAAACAATCATTTTCGCGGTCGTGGAAATACAGGAAATGGGTTAGTATTCCGAAATAACACAAATCATCGGTAGTACTTATTACAACACTAATAATAGTGGGCGAAACGCGAATGTCAGCGGATGAAATGTTCTTGGCTTTAATATAAATACTTTAAATTAAGTACGAGTGAAATATGAAGTGAATGAAATATTATTGTTATGCGATACAGGCGGTAGTAGTAGTTCTATTTTTAATGAACATTTGCATGTTGATAAATCTAAATAGATAAAAATTAAGGAAATTTCTTTTTCTATGGCTACACGGGAGTCACAAAAAATTAATTTTTACATTAACACTGAATGTATTAAACATGAATTTTCTGTAGTGGCATCATTTAAAAGTAGTACTCAGGGTGTCCATTTTCGCAATAATACGCAAATATTGGAGAGTAATCATGACTATTACACAATAATCCCTCCAAGATGTGTAATAATAAGGTTTTGCTATAGTATGGCAGTGAACGAGTTTTTAATAAACGAGAGACCTAAAAAGTTATATATAAATTATATATATTATATACATATAAAAAAGGCAAATAATTTTTTAAAAAATTGAAATAGATTTGGCCATTAACTTTTCCAATAAAGAAAAATGGTCCAATAATTCAACAACCCAAAATAACACACCAGACGTTCACACTCCACCGATTTTGGTAATCCATTTCACGCATCCAATGAAATTGACTCCTCCATTATAACGGGTAGAACGATAGTTAAACCGATAGGGGAAAAAATTCCAGTAAGATTTTTGAATATTAGCGAGAGAGAAGTAGAGATTAAGAATTTTCAACCTAAAACTGACGAGTTAGTAACTTATGATGTTTACAATTTCGGTTTTAATAAAATATCTGTTAGTCGGGTTGAGAAAGTTTTAAATTCCATTGAGACAAATTCTTTAAATTCTGAACAAGAAGTAAAGTTTTAACTATTTTAAAAAAACATAAATTCAAGCCATATCGCACCAGAAAAGTCCACCAAATACGGGGGACGCCGGTAGAAGAATACAATTTTGCTGGTTTATCGGAAAATGCGATGAAAACATTAACTTTCCATTGCCTATTGTTTGGACTGATGAGAAGAGAATGTTTAACAGATACAATACTTATCGCTGAAGCACAGAAAATCCTCATCCAAAATCGGCAAGGTCGCTTTGGATTCAATATATGGGTATTAATTTTCCGAGGTAAACTTGTCCCACTTTATTTTTTTAATGAAAATCTACGGATGGTTGTATAAATATAACATGTGTTGTTCCATTTTTGGAGGATTTGCCATAAATTTTTGGAAGTACTATTTATTGTCAACAAGGTTGCCTTGCTCACACCGCAAGGATTGTAAGAGAACTTTGAAATGAAGAGTTTGGACAGTGTTGGGTTGAAACCTGAGGCCCCATTCTCTGGCCTGCGAGATTGTGTAATTTAACCCCTCTAGATTTTTTTATGGGGAGATTAAAAGATCTTATATTTAAAGATTGAATTTTCTAAACCCAAGCAAAATTAGAGGAAGCCACTCGAGAAACGTTTCCTTCCATAAATCCTATAGTTAGTGATAAGTTGCCATTCAGTACTTAAAGTGTATCGAAGTATTCGGTTTATTTTGTATTTTAATATTTATTATGTTCTGTTTATTAAAATACATATAATTTTGTTTCCTAAAGAATCAAAAATATTAAAATATATTTTAAATTAGACTTATCTTTCTCTTAAGTTCCAGTGTATATTAAATTATTTTAAAGGTTTCTATGTGACGTTTTGCTAAACATATTATGCACGGCCTACTAATAGATAAACAAAAAAATTCTTATATTTCCGCCTTTTTTTATGACATATGCCAACAAATATATATGGATGAAAATGGCTCGACATGGGCATTTCTTAAGACCATAGCCAACTATGATTGCCATATAAAA